CGCTGCGCAGGCCTTGGCGGCTCTTGGCAGCGGCAGTGTTTGTGCTTGTCCCGTCCCCGTCCCCCGCACATCTGGGGTGGCGGCAGCTGTGCGTGGCGTCAGAGCGGGTCCTCCCTGTCCCTCGGGGATCGGGTGCCGCCCCAGGGCAGGGGCCGGGGGTGTCTGTGTCCCCTGGGGCTCTGTCCCCTGTATGTCCTGCTCAGGTACTTGGGACCCCTGTGTCTGTGTCCCCCATGGGTCTGGCCCCGGAGCAGGGGGTACGTGGGACCCCCATCTCTGTCCCTTCGGGTTTTGGTCCCTGCATGTCCCCCAGCTCTGTCCCCACAGGAGCGGGTACGTGGGACCCCCGTGTCCCTGTCCCTTGGGGCGCTGTCCCCTGTACGTCCTGCTCAGGTACTTGGGACCCCTGTGTCCCCCGGGGGCTCTGCCCACCTCGCGCCCAGTGTGGGCACATGGGACCCCCCTGTGACCTTGTGTGCCTGTCCCCAGACTGCTGGACCCCCAGCGAGAGCCATCTCGTGATGGGGACAACAGGACCTTCTTCCGGCTGCTTCTGGCCTTCTTCATCGAGAGCGAGGTGAGAGCAGCCGCAGGGGAGCCCTGGAGGGCTGTGGGGGACCTGGCACGCCGTGACAGTCCCCCGTTCCCTGTCCCCAGCTCCACGAGCACGCCATCTACTTGGTGGACAGCCTGTGGGACTGCGCCGGGCCCCGGCTGAGGGACTGGGAGACCATCAGCACTTTGCTGCTGGAGGAGTCGCCCACCGAGGGTATGGCACTACTGGGAGATGCTGGAACGTGCTGGGACATCGCAGAGGAGTCACTGGGAAACACTGGGATATGCTGAGGTGTCACTGGGAGACACTGGGACATTGTTGGGACCAAGTAGGCTACACTGGAACACCCTGGGACACCCTTGAGGTATACTGGGATGCACTGGGAGATGCTGGAATGCAGTAGGATGTATTGAGAGATCACAGGGAGACGCTGGGGCACGGCTATAATGCATGGGGATGTACTGGGACATCACTGGGAGACATTGGAGTTGCCGTGAGACGTCTCTGAGAGATGTTGGGACGTTGCTGGGTGATGCTGGGAAGTGACGGGGGGGCACTGGGGCATCACTGGAACACATGGGGACGTGCTGGGACGTCACCCGGTTGTGCTGCGCCATTGCTGGGGCACTGGTGGGTGGTCGGGGGATGTACTGGGTTTTGTTGGGGTGCACTGGGACCCGCGGGAATGCCCTGGGACCCCCGTGGCACAGCAGAGGGGGTGCCGGGCTGCCGCCCAGCCCCTCTGTTCCCCTCCCCCAGCAGGCCTGGTGGACCAGCAGGAGAAGGCACTGGTGGAGATCCTGGCGGCCAGCGCGGTCCGGGCAGCTGAGGGGCCGCCCCCGGGGGGCCGCCGGCCCGCCACGAAG